GCCTATCAAAAGTCCGTATCTGTCGCAAACCTTGTATCTGCCTTCTAAAGTTGTACTAAACTCAGCATCGAAATAGCTCAAACACGGCTTAAATGGGAAACAAACTACAATTCTATACCTATCATCCTCTTCATCAAAGGGTTCATTTAACTCGACGATCTTGTCTAGTGCACCATTGCTAAATTAAGTAATAGGCAAAGATGGAAGAATGGTTAGCGAGTGGCCTTACAACATGACCCGCGACAAGTGAAGATTTGAACAACTCAGGGCTATTGCTAGATTGTAGCAATGATACCCAAGACCATGTGTTAGCTTGTGTTGTTGAGCCATAATCATCAAGATGATGCTACCAAATAAATAGTACATTCGCGCTATATTCGGAGAGGTGAAGGGTTCCCCTGCAATACCATAAGCTCGTGTATTTGTACGCCTCGTGCACAAGTTGAGGTAAAGGAAATGTACATTGATTAGGACTACTTTTGTCCTTAATAAATTTTAATGCAACTCCGCAGTTCTTATTAGTAAATATATATGTATATATTTGAATCCATACCATCAATTAGGGCAACGTAATTCCTTTGATTCCAAAGGCATGAGTAGTTTACAATTTCATCATCCAACACCAAATTAAATCTTTTCCACGACATAGTTGTAAAACGGTAGACCTCTACTATCTTTGAATTACGAAAAATTCTAGCATAGTCGTCGCATCTAAGACATGATCATACAAACTTGTAGGCACGTTAAACAATTTTTTTGTGACTGGATCATAATTCATAAACTCGACAAGCACCCATAGGATGCAATGAAAAAAGTGATAGACATTGGTGTATTGTTTCGCAATAATATCGTGCAACTGGTAAAAAGTTGAACGACAAATTTGCCAACAAACCCTTATTATAACCACTTGTAACCATAAATTCTTTGTTCAACCAACCTTTTTTCTTACATATCTTCAATTCCTAGTTTTCAAACATTTACTACCTCCGTTAATTATTAATTATCTGCAACTTTGTAATATTTTATTTCTGTCAAACAATACCCTAAAGTTGCAAATAATTAACGGAATTGAAGAAGTATATATAATTTAAACAACGTCTTGATTTACTAACATCGGAGAACTCGAGTAAAAGACCACAAAGAGGAACGGCAAGTCGTAATATTGTTCCTCAAATTATTGATAATATCCCTCCAACTTTTACACACTAATTTACATATTATTAGAGAATTAAGGGATAGTCTTGATAAAATCTCAAACCAAATATCATCATATAATGTGAAACGTACGTGATCTTTTTGTAGCCTACCTTCACAAACATGGGTCATACGATTCATACTCATCCATACTACAACTTTTGTCTTTATATTTTTGCTAAAAAAAACGTCACTTTTTTTTTTGACAAACTAAAAAACGTAACTTAAACTAGAAAAATGACAGCTTTAATGTTGTGGGTTCAACTATATATATAAATGCTATTTATGTGCTTAAAAACGTTTCATTAAAGGTTTTAAGGCTTATCTTAGGCCATGGGGCCAAATTAAGCTTAGATTGACAAAAATATAATGTAAATAATGTCTCGTTTTTTGTATCAAAAAAATCTCAATTTTTATGCTATTATTTTTTTAACAAAAAACAAGGCATTCACAATTTTTATTTTTTTTTTTGACAAATCCAAGCTTAATTTGGCCCCAATGATCTCAAATGACCAACAAAACGCTTTTAAGTATGTATTTGAGAAAATTAAAATTAAAACTAATCCCGTTACTGACTTTTTAACGGCAAAGTCACCATATATGGTTACATTCGTAGACATTTATTAAGGTTTAAAGATTGAATTGGATTACGTGCAAAAATTGTATCAAGAACAAGTGAAATGAGATAATCCCTCCCTCACTTTTCTATGATTACGTATATTAAAACAAAATATTCTTATTTACATACTCCTAAAATATTTTTCCTAATACCCTGGCCTAGTAAAAGCCAATAGTAATTGTAGAAAAGTGACAGAGAGAGTAGTATTTTTAGTCGGTTAAAGCAAATTAAATTAGTTACTATGCCAACCTAATAATTAATGTATAGTACTTTGCACTTCAATTTGATTTTGGTATATATACGAAGGAAAAAGATATATGTAGCCCTAAAGGTTAAGGGCTGCATAAATGAAGTTAAAAATGAAAAGAATTGAAAATAATTAAATATTTATTATACTGATTTACTCGTAAATTGTTGATAAATTCCCAACTTAATACTAAAAAGGGAAGTATATATATTAAATGTTTATATGCATCCTTAAGGGTTGCATATAGCATTACCCATATGAAAGTAGAATTAAATATTTAATAAGTCTTGTGTAAAGACGTATGTTAATTTTATTGCAAGACGGTCAAATTGAGGGTAAATTTAACTGTTTTTATGGCAACTCTAACCACTTAAGGGCAACTTTTAATTTGTCGTTGGTTTGAATTTTATTTTTATGTGTAATTTCCTATAGATTCATTGATTACATAATATTAAGACTAATATAATTAATCAAATATATTATAAATTTTTTATAAGATAAATTTTTTTATTTAAAAAATAATAACTTCTATATTATAAAGAATAATTTTAAATACTTTCATGATAACTTTAACCTATCTTACAATAAATTAACATACAGGTTAAGTTAACTAGATAAATAATATGAGTACTTGATAATTCTTATTGAATTACGGTTCTCAGACAAACTTATTAACCAACGAGGGACATTGTAACTAGATAATGAATGCTTGTGTAGCTCACAATCATTGAATTGAATTTAAAGCAATTTATGGTTATAAAATTCTTAAAACTACGTGTGTATTATTACATATATCGATAGTTAATGACCTTAATGTAGAGTGGAAGATGTGAATTATTCGAACAATTAATTCTCATACTTAGTAGTACCACATTTTAATTAATTATCGTAATTAATTAGGTTTATATACATTGGCTGATTGCATCTCCAATGATAAGGTCCGTGTTTATGTATGAAGCATCTAATTTTTACTCCATATGTACATAAAATGAAGAGTTAAAGCATCATGCGGCCTTCATAATCTCTTACAATGTTTTTTGTTTTCACGATTGTTAATACATAATTTGATTATTACTTGCAACATATTGTGAACGTATACTATTGAAATGTAGCAAATAATTAATAAATAAAATTTGTAAGAAAACATGTATGTTCTACGTCATCTTTTAATTATACATACAAAGATCAACAATCATCTCTGGTTGCTTGTGAATTGAAAAGTTCTTACATGTCATTAGTCATAGTTCTTAATGCTATCATTAAGCTGATAGTTACATCACAAAAAAGAGACGTTGTTTTTGTCGTATTTTTATATACAGTAAAAATTAATTCATGGATAAAAGAGTTCTGATAAAAACAAGCCTAAAAAAACAAAAAAACAAAAAAAAAACAAAAAAAAGGATTAAATAATACGGAGTACGAAGTAACAATCATTATAGATATGGTTTGAAATTAATGAATTCCCTTTTTTTACATTGCTAAACTAGTTGATACACCTAGGTGACCTAGCCTTCCATGAGGGTCTCATCTTTCTATCTTTTACCTCCTATTTTTTTAATTGCAACTTTGGAATATTTTATATCTCACAAATAGTACCTCAAAGTTCCAACTAAAAAAAAAAATTGGAGGTAGTGTTGCAGTTTTGAAATCGAACAAATTAGATGCAATTGACTTTGTTGCGACATTATGTGCAACAAATTTTTTGTAAAAAAAAGTTTTAAAATTGTGATTTCTTTCTATCTCTCTTCAGCAGCCTCACAATCATCTCTAAATTTCTATTTTTCATTCAACACTCACGAATAAATTTTGCCTAAAAATTTTTGTCAAGACTTTTATTACACATGATATAAAACGAAAGTGTTAAGAGATTAAGGTCTTATCTTTAGATTTTAGTCATACCATTAGTGGAAATATAGCGATGAACGGGTGTACGTAAATTAATTTTAAAAAAAGTGACAACAGAACGAAAAGGAACAAAAAGGTACTGATTGCAAACTATATTAGGTTAATTCTTATATGAGAACAAGTTTGTTTTTAGTAGAAGAAATATCTGTAGGTCTCCCATTGGTGTAAACACCTTAAAACATTGAATTGGCCTTTGAGTAGACCCATTTTCATAATAACACTATAGAGAAAAACCTCAAAAAAAAAAAAAAAAAAATGATTGAGTTAGCATTTGTCATTATTAAACCATATTTAGATATTACAATAATGTTTCTTAGCTCTAGCTTTTGTTAATGATTTCCTAGCTTTAAATGGTTTAAGCATATTACGAGTATATATATATATATATTGATTTTAGAAACAAAAACCTAAACGCACTGCCCTCGCTTTGATCTAATTTCAAATCTTCTCTGATATCATGCTAATTAATTTAACACCAAATTAACAATGAGATAATGAGAGAGGGTCCACTTTACAATGCAAGACCAATTAAGGAGGTTTGTTCTATCTTAGATTAACATAATGTAACAATAACGGGTCTAATGAGCAATGTACTTATCTCTTCTTTATTAACGTGGAAAACTTACATGTGATATTTTATGGGGGTCTGAGTTTTAACACTCCCAACCCTTAATGAAACGGTTGTAGTTATCCATTTTTGAGATAATTACATGTGATGTTTTATGGGGCTAAAACATTGATGTGCATTTCAAAACAGGTAAAATATATGATCTTTTTTTAAAACACAGTACTGGCTAGCTAGCTAGTGGAGGAAGTAATCTACAAAATTCTTCAATTAATAAAAACTTTCATGTATGATGATGATGATCTAACCACTAACAACTAACCCCTCACCTCTATCTCCTTATATATAGAGTGCTAATTGTAACTATAAAAATGCAAGAAATTAAACAAATTCAAACAAATAAAACCTATATCAATAGCAAATATACCACCTACATACATACATACTCTTTAGCCAACTCGTTTCCAATGATGAATAACATTGTAGTTTTCTTTATATTTTCTTTCTTGCTTCCTCTCTCTTATGCCATTGAATTTGACTTTTGTGTAGGAGATCCAACTCTCCCAAAATCACCCAATGGGTATGCTTGCAAAGATCCTGCTAATGTCACGATAGATGACTTTGTTTTCACTGGTTTTTATGAAAATAAAGTAACCACGAAAAACAAATATAAATCTAACGTGATTTTAGCATTTGCTGATACATTCCCAGCCTTAAATGGTTTAGGTATATCTAAGTTGAAGGAAGAGATAGACGTAGGTGGAGTTATACCAGCTCACACCCACCGAACATCAGAAATTTTGGTCGTAATTAAAGGGACAATACTAATAGGATTTATTGACACGAACAACACTGCATATTATAAGCGACTTAAAAAAGGAGAAGTTATTGTCATTCCTCCAACTATGATTCATTTTCAAGTCAATGTCGGTCCAACTCCGGCTATTGCATACGCTAGCTTCAACGGCGCAAACCCGGGGATTCAAGTCGTTAGTTCCGCCTTATTTGCTAGCAATGTACCAGCTGATTTAATTGCCAAAACCACTCTTCTAAGTCCTCAAGAGGTAAAGAGGATGAAGTTGATATTTGGCAGTGCTTAAATAAATATCCTCATCTACCTTTGCTACCAATTAAGTTATTGTATTAATTTGCTCTCTAAATAAACAACACACCGTATGTAAGGGAGGGTTTGTGCATGTTATATTATTACATACCCCACAATTAATGTATACATATGTAGTAATCTAGTATGCATGAAATGTTATGTGGATGGATGCCAATTAATTTATACCCTTGTATTTTTCTGAAATATATATTCTAGATTTAGGGTTTATTACTATCCAAACAAATCCTAATATATTTATCATGAAATAAGGATATATTCTTTTCTCAATTCACCTTTTTTTTTTGTATTATTTAAAACTCTATGCATTTTTGTATTGTATCACTTTAACCATTAAACATGTCAATGTACAATTTTAACCAACAATTTTTTAAATTGTCCGTTATTAAAAATATAAAAAGTTGAGATCGATTTTCAGATCACTTGTCCTTGTAGCACTCTAAACACCAAAAAAAATAGAACTTCATATGAGATATATATTTTATGAATATATATTTTATGGACGCTATTCAAATAATATAATTAAATTACGTTGACTTCTTTTTGTGACTGATTCTCAATAAAATCTAGTCATTAAGGGTCTTGTTAGAATCGTCTCAAGACTCTTAACATCTATATTATAATCCAAGTATTATATTTGTAGATGTGTATGTGATTTATAATAATGGAACATATTAATTCGTTGTTGAAATTATGCGTGGACAAACTTCTCTACATCAATTTTGTCAACTAATTCAAAACGAGCTTGGGAAAACTTCTCTACATCAATTTTGTCAACTAATTCAAAACGAGCTTGGGAAGTACCCCTAATTTTCAAAATGAATGATAACTTAATTTGCCTCACCTTTACTCTCTTGGTTTCAAGCATTCTCTCATGCTTGCAAAGATCCCGTAGTCCCACCAATGTCGCTAATGAAATTAGTATAAATCACATTTAATTAGATTATTTAACACCATATCTTTAATTTTAGCTCAATTAGCTCACAATCTATAATGTTTTACTTAAATTATTTATATTACAAACAAATACCAATCAATGAGCTGCACTTTATATTGTTACTAAGCTAGCTAAATGAGAAATGTGAGGGAAATAGGGAGGAAAGGGAAAAAATGAGCCCAAAATGACGTCATGTGGTAGTTGGGAGGCAAGAAGGTGGTAACTTTTGATGTTTTTGAAAATAGAAGGTGGTAATTTTCAAAAAAGGTAACTGCTAAAATGGACTAAACAAAAGGTGGTAATTGTCAAAATTAGTTTAAAGTTTTCTAATTATACTTAATACACGTTGATGCCCATGTCACCAACTATCTCTTGATTTGCTTCATTTTCTACATACATTGTTGATCTTTTATGTTGGTACGACTCATGTTACCAATGAATCTAGTTTTGTTTCTTGATCACATCTTGTTGCTCTTCAATGTTTTAGTTTGTGTTGGTACCTGTGTTACCAATTTGCTCTCCCTAATTGTAAATTTCTCAACTTTTTAAATTGGTTCTCATGTTACCAACAATTTTACTGCTCATGTCACCAACCATCACCTCTAATGCTCTTGTCATTAGCAACTCCAATAATTTTTATCAAGTTATACTTCAATCTTTGATTTTTTTTTAATACAATATGTCTTCAACTTAAATTTTATCTTTTGATATTTCCCAAACTTATTTGTCTTCTCATAAAACTTACCATATTATTTAAGCAAAATAACATAAGATTTAGGATAATTCAAGCATATTGGATATGGAGTATCATGATCCGAAAGTATATAATTTTTTTTTTTTTTTTTTTTTTTTTGAAGAAGCCTGGAGTATATAATACTAACTCGCTCCTAATAGTCTTCATATACTTTTTTTATTTTTTCCGAATAATAGTCTTCATATCTTAGAAAAGATCGGATAAGATTGCTTTTTTTTTTTGTTTATTATAAACATTTCATGAACATTGATCTAATTTAGGACTCTTGTATATATAAGTTAACCTTTTTAAAAATTTTATATATACGCTTAAAGAAAGGTAGATTACTACATTATCCATACTCTTGTCATATGCAAGGTTAACCATTCAAGTGCCAATATATATTCAAGTGCATCACTTTTTTTTTTGGATATAATTTATTTAGGAGATCAGAATACCAACCAGAAAATTAATTACTTTCCTAATATAAATTACGTACTTCAATAGGATACTGTCAATAAGATAAGAAAACAATTATAAAGCTAATAAGTTTACCTGTTATCTATATCCCTTTTAAGGTTTTCAAAGTATTAGTTTATATTATATGAGAAGTTTGTTTTCATAAAAAAAAAATCTCCATTAACCTTAGTGTCAGACTCAAAGTATCATATCATTGTTATTACATATTGATTCAATGATGCCCTTATTACTTGAAGCAAAACTAGGTGGTGTTAGAGTTTTTAACCTTAGTATTTGTTATGACTATCCTCCATTAAGCATAGATTATGGTTCTACACGGCGAGGATTGTTCCTCCTAAATTTCGAACCGAAATTGCCAGGTTTTGATGATCCCTTACATGTCTATTTCAAATTGTCAGCCCTTCCTAAACAAGACTTGTATAATTTAGCAAAACAAGTTATTTTTAAAATTCAAGGGTTGAGTTTAAAAACAAAAGAGTTACTTGCTCAACAAATCTCGGATTATTTGAAGAGTTGCTTTTATTTTTATAGGGTCGTCCCTAGTGATGAGTATGACCCTTGGAGGCTTGTTTTTGTAGTAGATATTATTTTAATGGATCTTAGTGAGCACACGAAGACATACGATCAAGATCAAGATCAAGAACAAGATAGATATGCATATAATGATGGTAATCGATCACTCGATGACAAGACATACCCTAATCTTCCCTTTGGAAACTTAGACAAAGATGATTTTGACATCCTTAAGGCGTTGTATGTTAATGTATTTTACAAAGGTGACGAAGAATACGGAACAAGGAAAGCGGGAATTATGGTACCACTCGTTTTCGACAAGATCATTCCAGCAGTAATCATGGAAGAAAAGGGTGATGATAATAATACATGCTCAATTTGTCTCGATAGGATGTCAACTGTGGTCGAAACCATAAGATTGCTTCGATGCAACCATGTATTTCATCGCGATTGCATCTTCAAGTGGCTATCAACCAACCCGTCTTGCCCCTATTGTCGAGCCTCTACTTCAACATTGGTTCGCTGTTGAAATTCCCACGAGTAATTATTTGTACCAAACATTTTATCTCTTTCAATAATAATGAATTACTATTTTTTTTTATTATTATTATTATTATATATTGCCTCTTGTTTCGTAATATAGCATCGCAAACACTAGGTCTGATGTAGGAAAATTATAGGGTTGAGACTAAAAGGAGAATGTAATCTATAATATTTTTTTTTAAAACAAGTCAATTCATTAATAAAAGGTCATCTGGTATCTACAAATGAACTCTAAATTAACAAAAACAACGACCATATGCAATTTTTTTTTTTATAACTTTTCCCTAAGGCCCTAAACTATTATATTTAAAAAAAATAATAATTAAATTATAATTAAATTTACCACATATTAAATGGTGCCTTAACTATTGATGAATAAGCAAAGTCCTTAAAGGACTAAATTGCCTCACTCAATAGTTGAGGGACTAAAATACTTCAAATACGTAAGTTAGTGAACCGTATTTGACTTCAACTCAATTTAGGACTCTTTTATAAATTAACCTTTTTATTATTTTATATATATATATATATATATATATGCTTAACGAAATTAATATTTTATCAATACTTGGTTTAAGTGTTACGAGAAAGTAATTATGAAGAAGAGTTATATGGATCTTCCAATTGAATTGACAATAAAGATAGCGGAACACATCGATTCTCATGAAGATTTTGAAAATTTTGGGTTAGTATGTACCAATTGGAGAAACTCAATGAAACTTACCTCTCGATTTGCATCATCACGGCAAACCCCGTGGTTGATGATTCCACCGGAACCCTTCTTAAAGGTCTCTTCGAAGGCTCGATTTTACCGACTCTACGACCACTCGATTAGGCACGTGGACTTACCATCTCTAGACGATGACAATGACAATGAGGGCGAGGAGGAGGATTATAATGATGAGAAAAAGTCTCATCGACACTTGAATTCTTCGCGAGGATGGCTAGTTTTCCTAGATGATGCAGGTGTAACGAAGAAAGATATATCTCTACTCCACCCATTTACTAGGGAAAGAATAAGTATTCCTTCCCTTCCAAAAAAATGATTTCACGTTTGTTGTGCAAGTATTGCATCGAGGATGAAGATGCCTACGTTTACGACGATTCGATTTGTGCTCTATCAGAATGCCCAGCTTCAAACAGTTCTCATTACACGCTTGCCATTATTTTCATCAAGCCTTGTAGCCTAGTCTACACCGCCAGCTTTTGGAATAGCAAGGACGAGAAGTGGGTTGTGATCCCGAAACTTCCTTACTTAGAGAATATCACTGATATCACTTTTTATAAGGGTGAATTCTATGTTGTCGATAGCAAAGGGAGAATGGTTGCATCGAGTGGGTTCGATGATGCTATTCGACCTCTGATTACGCGACCAACTTGGGCATTGGATAGATGGAGTAGCTTGAGTGACAAGGTATACTTGGTAGAATCAGCAGGAAAGTTATTGCAAGTCCTTCGTTGCTACCCCGACCTTACCTTACCAAAATACATCGATCAACGAGTTTCGAAATTCATAGTTTGGGAGGTTAATGTTGACAAAGGGGAGACTAAAGAAGTGAAGAATTTGGGAAATAGAGCACTGTTTTTAGGTCTTAATTCTTGCTTTTCAATGGAGGCATCTCCGCATTGTTGTAAGCCTAATTGCATCTACTATGTTAGCGATTATGGACACCACGTAAACATGGGCGTATATGATATAACCTCCGGCCAAAAAATCGAGGATCACATTAGTCCAATTGTAGCAGCAACAAGTACATCTTTCTGGGTCGAAGCTCCTTCTAGCTGTTGTATCAAATCATAAGAGTTGCATCATAGTTCTTTTGACAGTTATATGTTAACCCTTATCATAATTTTATTTTTATCTTTCAAACAAAATTATTAAGTACTTTCTTTGGATGTTCTTGTATATCAAAATTTCCTGTTCATCAGATATTAGGATAATTTTTTATCACTTAGATCATTAAATTATAAAATAAATTATAACCAAAACAAGTTATGATATGAATTGTAAGACACAATTGATAATTAATTAATTTTCATTAGATATGATGAGATCAATTAATTTTTATAGGGTTTTTATTCTTCAATTGCTATGACCTTCTACGTAATTATTGACACTCTATCATCGGATCTTCACTGACTAGATAGCGTAGGCTTCAATATGAATTGTTCAAATACAAATGAATAGATTTCGCCCACGTAAATACAAATTATTCTACGCTACAATCACCATTCGCCTAAACAATGATTTTCCCGTCCCCTGCCTCTCGAAGATTCAGTTTCTCGTTGCTTGAATTCCCGACTTGTGTTGGGTTTTTCTTACAATTTATTGAAGTTAAGCAACACAAGAATACTGACGTACAAAACTTCGTTGTCTGACAAGCTCATGAAGATCGTGAACAATCTTGAACACGGCATCTGGCCTCGCATGCTTCAATGCATTCTGTGACATGATCTGCAGCTCATTTGATTTCGAACCAAACCATTGAGCAACGGTAAAAGCTATTTCCTTGGGTGACTTCAAGTATTTTCCAATACCATTTTCTAAAACATAGGGGACATTTCCTGCTTCCTGCACCAAACAGCATGACAGCAACTCAGTAAAGGCCTAAAGGGGATGAGGTTCTTCCCGGTGATTTGTGCACAGGGAAGCTCAACAGAAATGAAGATAAAAACTTTGGGTTAAGAATTAGAGGGTTAGTATCTAAATTACACATCCCTGGCATATTGAAAAAGAGCACTTTGCACAAGATTTAAAACCAATTCACAGCCAACCTTCAATAGAACCAAGGATTTAACATGAATTTACCAAGTTGTCTTCAATGATACTTAAGCTTCTATTCCCTCTTCATCACTTAAGTAGGGTGTCTTAGAAAATCTAATCATATTACCCTACTGCTTCAATCCCTGACATTTTCATCCCAAATTGTCTTCACAAGTTTTTTTCGGGTTAAAAGCACTTAATTCATTTACCATATACCATGAGCACAATCTTAAATGATGCTTTGTGAGTTTGATCTCTCTCTCAAAGAATGCCAGATGCTCAATTATGTATATCTAAGAATACACCGTGTATATATAAAAGGACTTTGGCCCAAAGGAACTAATGTGAAGAAACTATTGGTGACCAAATATATCAATTGAAAGTGATGACGAGGATTCCACACCTAAATATGATAGGTGAGAATTTATCCTAGCTAGCTACTAAATGTTCAATGCATCTCCTACTAGTTTCTTTGGCAGTGTTGTGTGTTTACCGGTTTACTCCAACCATTTTACCTAAAGAACCATAACTCGCACCTATCTCTCAGTTTTAGGAGTCTTAAACAAGTATAATCTGGACAGCATATTGGACTCATACATGACAAAAGACAATAAAATTAATCCTGTTCCAGAAACAAAGGTGTTATAGAAAACACCAGGCATTCATGCAGTACTAGTAGTATAGTACAATTAAGGCAAACTGATGGATACCTGCCCAGCGATGTAATCATTTAATATGATGGGTAGTCCTCGAATCATTGCTTCTGCAATAGTTCCAGGGCCAGCCTGAGAGAAAGCCAAATAAATAAGAATACAGATACTGAAAAGCTGAAAAGCTGAAAATCTTCCGGATATAACGATATTTACCTTTGTTATTATACAATCACAAGCTCCCATGCACTCCTCAATTTTAGTAACAAAGCCCTTCACCTGGAATTTTAAGTTGGCCATCAACTTTTAATCTTCAATAATTAATTGAAACAAGTAGTGCAAAACATGAAAGTAGTAAAGCTGAACAGAACCAAATTCAGTGGTAACCCTTTGGATATGTTCAGCTCAAAGCTTGGATCATGCTCAGTTTGACCTGAGTTATGAGCTAAATTGTGTTCAGCCCTGGCATACTAAGTTACTAACACTCAAATAAGCCAAGTTTGGTCTAATTTCTTACTGAATTTTTTTATTCTGTTTAACCTCTTTAAAGTACTTGTCAACAATCATTTAACAATTATAATAAATCTTTAAAAAGTCATTTCGTAATATGTTTATTGTTAATAAAATTTGAAACTAACTGAGTCTTAGCATGAGCTCCAAACCATGGTTCTCATGACAAATCTCAGATTGAGCTCAAGCTGTCAGAACTTGGCAAGTTAAAACTGATTTAAAGATAACAGAGGTAGCCCACTTTTGATGAGCTAGGACCCTTTTTTTTTTTTTGACAAAAGGTGAGCTTGGACTTAGCTCAGCTTGCATAAATCACTAAAAGCAAGATGAGACTCACTGACTCCATTTCATAAGCCAATCATGCAAAACTACCCGGATAAAGTATACCTGCACAGGGATCTTCCAATCAATTGAACTCAATTTTGCAGCAAGCTTTTTGTTGCGACCACAAATCACAATAACTTGACCTATTGGCTCACCAAGGCTAGCATCATATAATGCATTTCCAAGAGCTCGTGCAGTAGCCTCAATGGGGCCCATGCCTTCCCCTCCTCCCATCAACAAAACAGCAGGAAGATGCTCATCCATTCCAAGTTCCTTGCGTAACTCAGGCTGAGGAAAACATAAAAAAATATTATTAAAAACAATATCTCCAGCTGCACATACCAGAAACCCTCTATACAGGGAGAAACAACATAATTTCAACAATCCATGAAATCACTGCATCAGCAGCAATAAGCAAAATTTGAAACTTAATAATTAAACTTGTCAGAGACTAGCCAATCTTAACCAGGAATCCAGAACACAAATGGCAAACATTAGTACACAGCCAAACCAGATTACATGTCAAGGCAGAGATATAAATTCACCCAGAAACATAGTAATATAACCAACAATATACAAGCAATGGAGCACAGGAGAAAAATGATATGAAAGGGTACACAAACCTTTGGCCTAACAGACCGAACAAAGGATGGCCGCACAGGAAGTCCGTAAACTTTTATTTGGGAAGGCTGAAGACCAGCTTTTGTTGCTCTTTTAGCCACCTCATTTGAAGGGCAGTAGCACCTTGTTACAAGCTTATGAAACCTACAAGGAGGAAGAAGGGAAAAAAAAAAAAAAAAAAAGGTCAGGGACCAATGTCACAGTCTTGCTACAAAATACGGACATTAAACCTACTTAAAGGAAATTGCACAGCCTACCAGGTAGGATGACAGGTACTCAAGTCTGTAACTACTGTAGTAAAGACGATTTTCTGAAGGAGGCCCCTGCCCCTCAATATACGAAGTGGAACATGTTGCATCAACGGATGCACACTAATGATTATATCTGGCCGATATTTCATCAATCCTTTAGCTACCTCTCTGCAAAGAACAAAAGAAACAAATTAGCTTTGAAGTGATACAACATACACTTAGTTGGACCTGAACATATTATTTAACAACAGATCCAACGGAAGAGATTTTATTATCAGGAAAAGGCACCAGATGTCAGCTAAGGACCTACATTTATATTCAGGCTAGAATCAGGCTACATTTATTTTCCAACAGATCCACTCAGCACTACATCGTTATTCAACACATTTCCTCAAATAGAATAAGCAGCATAACAATAGATGCAATAAGCTAGGACAGCCTTAACCAATACATTGCACCAAGGACAAAAATGACGGTCACTTCCAACCAACTATAAACAAAAGAATGCTGAATACCATTATTACAAAACACAAAAGTTACAAATTTATAGAATATTGAGGGAACTGATTCCCCTGTAGTAAAAAATAAAATAAAAATAAATATATAAATAGGTTTGAAAGTTCATTATGTACAAAAAGCAATCACACCAATTGGCAACACCAATACACACACCTTCCTGTATTGGGATGCAAAGTGACATTGAAGTACTAAACATTTATGCTTCTTCATCAGCCCTCCCACAAAAGTGAATATATAGGGAAAAAAACATGCAACCTCACCCCCCACCCCCCGGGTTCTATACAAGTAATGCTTGCATGGTCATGAGCCAACTCTTCAGGGCCTTCACAAAAGGTCATCAGACTCATCACCCATATGTTTACAGAATACCAGTGTTAGTTTTTTGAGAAAGCTAAGAACATGAATCCAGAAAAAAGACTTAAATTATCCCAATCTTTGTCCAAGGAAAATGCTGCTCCACATATGCAAGTGACTAAGTAGGAGGATAATATTTTCTCCAAAAAAAAAAGGATTCTTTTTATCAATCATTTGTTTTGGTCATAAGCTTTAAATTCAAATAAATTTAAAACTTGAGATGCAAAGTAAAGCCATCCATTAATAGTGTTACAGTGGAAATCGAGACATTATAAAAACCAGTCTCAAATATATGATTGTCATCTTCTGTCCTTCGCTGTTAAAAACTGAATTTATCTCAAATCCCTCAGATCAACTACAGGTAACTTGATACAACCACATAAAGATATCCTTTATGTCAAGAGTTTTAACTCAAACAATGTCACACCTATCACCTATGTACTTTTTCTTAAGAAACCGAAGAAAATTTTGCATGATGGTAACAGACTCACCTTGCTATGAATACAGAGGTTGCAGCAAAATTTGATTGATGGATTACTCGAGGAGATGTACCATAATACATCATTTTCCACAAAGGGCCATGTTTCACCAAGAAATTATAGCTCCTTGGTAATTGATTAAATGGCCAAGGAGTATGCTCAGACCATAAATCCGTAACGAATACCTGCATTTACCACTGTTTAAAAACGATATAATCAACAAATATATACATGAATGCAACCACCCCATTTTCCACATCTCAAACGGGCACACAATCACAAATTTAATATAGGCAAAACCACAAGTTTAGCACCAAACCAATTGACAAGGACATGATCAACAATTATATAATGCAATATCCTTATATCCTCACTTATCAAAAAGCATATTCCAAATTTTCTATCATTAGTTACCAAATTGATTCACTCACACACACACAACTTTAATAGCATGGCCCACTCATATCAAGAAGTAACTAAGCTAAATCAACAAAATCAACCTTTCACTTCCACAATACAACATAATCAAATCAAACTTATATTCACAATTAAAAGTGTTATACATAATTAAACTTGCATATGAATGAAATCATTTACTGAGTACAAATTAATACAGTATTTAAGAAGAAACTGATTGGAAATTAGACCTGATAATCATCACCAAATTCTTCATTGAAAGCAGCCTTGATAGCTTCAGCAGAAGCCCGGTGACCGCCTCCGGTATCGCTCATCAAGATTAGAACCCTTTTAGGGGATTCAGGCTCAACCCCATTAACAGGCACTCTAACATCTTCCAAAATTCCATGTCCATTATCACTCAATCCATTACTCTCCCCAGAATTAAGACCAATTGAAGAAAACCCAAGTGGAATTCTATCACAATGAAGCCTAATTGCCCCATTAAAATCAGTCAAAATCCTCTTCAAATTAGAACCCTCTTTACTAAAACTCAATGAATTAACGAATTTAAAACTGTTTTGAGTGGCTAATCCACCAAAATACGAGTGATTAGGAGAAAATGAAGAACACCCATTTGAATTATTGCCCAAAAAACTTGAATTTAGAGCAAAATGACCCAATTTAGGCACAAATTCTAGCAAATTTGAGGGCTCTGAAGTGACTGTTGAAGGATGAGACATTGCCAAAAAATGGAATTACTCAAATTGGGTTTTTCAATTCCTAAGTGGGTATCATTGAAAAAGATATGAAATTTGAGTTCTGATTAAATACAGCAATCAAATTGAAACAACTTGGGATTTTACTTTTGTTTTTTGGACGGAGGAAGAACAAGTGTAGAAAGGTTGGAAGAGGGTGGGAGAGAGATAAGTGAGAAGGGGAATCTTGGAAGGGATTGGTAACCACAGAGACAGGATTTTATTTTTTTGGGAAAATATAATTGCAATTTTTGTTTTTCAAAAAAGTGAAACTTTTTTTTTTTGCATATGGGATTTTTGCATTTTATAAAGTTGATTGCCCCATCAAAATAAACATTGGAGCAATTAATTTAATAAGAGTGTTACATCACTCAGGATTCAAGGAAGTTTATATTGATTAATAAATAGCTTTAAGTGATTAGAGTTTTCCTTTCACTTGTAGGGGGATTTTGAATCAATTTTACGGAGTATCATTTGTCGTTTTACTTGAAAAAATATGAAAACAGTCTTAATGAAGCTTTTAGCTTATCGGGGATTATTAAAGATTTGACCATTATAAAATAGCTAATGCGAGTGTTTGGTAAATATCTTATTGAAGGAATTTTTTTGAGCTTAAAAAGCTCATTTTGAAAAGCTCATATTAGGAGATCTTATTGAAAAAGCTCAAGAGCTTATTTAAAATTAACTTGTTCAACTTTTAGCATTTTGGTTATTACTTACATTGAAACATCCAACCATTAACAGCTAAAAGCATAATTTTACACAGTATCAGATAATTTACTATGTACTAATTAGTCAAATTAGGTAATACAACCAATTAGGCAAACAAGTTAATACAACCACGTATATCAATCAGTTATCAGCTAACAAATAAGGCCCACATGTTAAGGGTAGAGGTGGGCAACGTGTCGTGCTGGCCTGGGTCGCCGCAGGCCATGCCTGGGCCGTGCCTGCATCTTGGCATGTCGGGCCGCGCCGGGCCACCATTTAGCACACCCCAACCCACGGCACGACCCCCGTGTCTAGCGTGTCGTGCCTTGCCAGGCACCGGGCGGCCCATAATTTTTTTATTTTTTATTTTTAAATGAATATACTATTCAAATAATTTTATGAATTTATGTTTATATTTTTTTATTTTTTATTATTATTGTTTTTTTATTATTCCTTATATTTATTACTATAGTTCTTTATTACTTCCTCCATTTTTACATACTTGCTTCATTTCTTCATGTGCGGAGTTTTAGGAGAATTTGGAGAAAGTAATAAAATATGGAGGTAGTAGAGTATGTGGAAGAATAAAAAAATTGTAAAAGCCAAAATACTACTTCTAATGTACAAATGGATTTATTTAATACAATATCCTTTTCTCTTAAACCATCACGGGATAACCTTTGTAAATAAGACTCCATCACTCTCATTTTAACATATTTAGTTTGATCAAATATTTATAAGAGCTAGCTTTTGATCAAATTAGGGCAAGTAAAATGAGATAGAAATAGTAATATATTGTTATCTTTATTTCAATATATAAAATACTACATTTTATTTAAAATAAAACTCTATATCTGTTAGTTATTATGAAAATAGAATATTCATGACCATACTCACAAAATCTTACTACCTCTGTTTCATATTTTTTGCAACTTTGGAATATTTTATATCTTATAAATAATATTCCAAGGTTGCAAAAAATATAAAACGGAGGTAGTTTTACATATGTACATGTTTATATTTGTATTTTTCCATACAAAATATCAATTAAAATGATTATGTAATTTTTAATAACAAACGTCACTATGGTACAAGTACAAGTGTACAACTATAAAAACAAACGAGTCACATTTTTCTCCTAGGTTCTAAATTTCGTGAATGGCTCAAAATGGCAATGGCCGTCCAATCCCATGTTATAAATGTGTCAATTAAAGCCTTCTTAAAAAAAAAAAAAGAAAAAAAAAGTGTCAAAAGCCCACGTTGTGAATACACTAGGTGATGACCGTTGACCACCCACCCACCCACCGTCCATGGATTTCATGCCAAAAAGTTTTAAAGGGAAGTATAAAGATTCAAGTCAACTATTAAAAAAAAAACATTTGGGTGAACTTTCATGTCAATAGTCAAGCGCATGAGTGCATGACTCAACTACTAATTAATATGGTTTGTTTTGGTGATATCAACTAATCCGTTATAGTGTTTCTCGTAGATTAGTGATAATTTGTGATTAAGATTACTTTAATTTTGATCCTGAAAAATACATTGGGGTAATTTAAAAAGTGATTGAGTAAAAATTAATCAACCATAGCCTAATCTCTCACAATTATCAATAAGATCTTGCTAACAATCGCCCTGTGACGTTAGATTACCCTTTAAAATAGTACTCCCTCCGTTCATTCCTACTTCTAGCATTTATTCCTTACATAATAGGAAGACGTATGAATCTAATTAAGGGAGAAAAGAAATATCTAAAATGGTATTAATTTGGTAATACATGTCAAAATCACTCGTCAAACAATATTCATTTTAAATTCATATTTTAACTTTTAGCTATCTTATATTCTTATCTAACGTCTCTGGACAACAATTGTTAGTTTTTGCTATCATTAATGTCAACAATTTTTTTTCTGGCTACATGATTGGTTTTTGGTAAAAGCATATCCTCTAAAAAATTAAACTCAACGGAAGTTGGAAATCAAAGTTTTTACATACCGCCCAATTGATGAGTTTAACCCGCCCAATTTTCCTACCAATCGATTATACATACGATTACATTGAAACTAATAACTATAAATGAATGTCAAATAGCATTGGAAATCATCTATTTTTACCTACATCTTTTCAACCATCTCAATTTCTCTACCATCTACTCTTCCCCAATAGTGGTTTCTTAATTTTTGAGTGGTCAATGACTCTAGTATCAAGGATTCAAGGTGCTTGTGCCCGTAAATTTCTTAGGAGGTGTTTGGTTTGCAGAGTGGTATAGGTTTGAAATTAGGAATAGGGTTAAGGTGGTATCGAGTTGGAATTTGATACTTAATACCATGTGTTTGGTTTAATTCTAGAATGAAATATCATCTCATTAATTTCATATATTTGATAACTAAGGGAATGGAATAAGCCAAACTCACCTTCCCCCTAAGGTTTCTAAACCCCATGAGGTATGGGTTTAAAAATCATATTTTTGACAACCAAACATATGCTATGGGTTTTGGTCATTCTAAGCCCATGTCTAATACCTATAATCTGCGAACCAAACGCCCCTTAAGAGTTTCATAATTTTGATATTAATTTTACTCCTTTGTTTCATAATCAAAAAATAGAATTTGTGTGAACGTTCCCAAGATTTAACCTAAGTTGTGATACCATGTCAGATAATATAAACTCCCTTCAGTGATTTCCATTTATCAATATTTATAAGGTTACAATGAGAAACCTACCTAATCATATTAGGTAACTATAAGATATGTACAAATATAAAAGATAATATTATACAAAATATATCCTAAACCTAGGATGAGAATAATCTATGAATATTCTCTATCACATAATAACATGCATAACAGAAACTTTATTTTTCAGTCTTATGCTAGTACCAATTAAGTTATCACGAGCATTGGAGAAACACGACCAGAGTTTATAGCCCAGGGCCGGATAGAGACATCGAACCAGTGATCAAGACCCAAAGAGGAAACCCAGATTGGCCCGAAGAATTGGAGCCAATCGAAGTCCAAATAGTGGCCCAAATGATCCGCCCGACCAAAAAGGCTGGCGCCCGAAGGCGCGCCCGGCCGGGCGCGAGATTGTTAGTAGAGATAAAAAGGCGCGCCCGATCGGGCGCGTGTATATTTAGGAGACGATTAGCGTAGTTTTAATTTATTTTAATTTAGGATTTTGTACGGAGTATAAATACTCCTCCGTAATACGATTTTAGGACTTCTTTTTCTCTTCTTCTTCTTCTTCTTCTTCTTCTTCTCTTAATCTTATTCCTTAGTCTTTCTCTCTCTACTTAGACTTCTCTCTCTAAACTCTCTCTCTAAACCTTTGTTCTTATTTCTTTGATTAATTCCAGATTATTTTGGTAACGATTTCTCTTCTTTTAATCTTATTTATTTTATTTCTTTCATCATGATTTATTCTATTACTTTGATTAGTTTAGTTTTTATTATGTGTGAGTAGTTTTATTTCTAGGGTTTATGGGGATCTAATAAATAATATGAAGGGGTAAATTATTGTTGTTGATTATCAATGCTAGATTAATTTCCTATTGATTGATTTAATGCTCTGTGACTAGATTAGGCCGATCTTTTATGCATGAGTTTGACAATATTGATTCAAGAATCGAGAGATGAGAATTAATGTTTAGGTCTAATTTCAATAGGCAAGTTAATTTATAAATGGTTAAGTCAAGATTCGAGAGATGAGATTTAATACCGGTAAATTAATTGTGTGATTGTAATAAGTAGCGAGAGCCCTTTACAGTCTGGTTAATTGATGCATTGATGATTGACTACTATTGATTGTTGGTATTGCATGATAATTTCTTATTGGATTGTTTTAATGTTTTACAATTGCGGCTTGTAAAAGTATAGCAATATTAAATTGATGAATCGAGCAGATGTTAATTTGATATTAAAGGCTATTTTCAATGAGGACTTAGATCTAGTAAATTGCGAGAGCCTGTTAGATCTATGTTGATTAGTAAATTGCGAGAGCCTGTTAATCATGTTATTTATGCAATGTCAATGATTGATTACCCTATTTTACCCCGGAGTATTATTTATTGGTGAACCTATGCCTTAGATCCTTTTATATATTGCTTTTTCCCCTATTCCTTTTCCAGTTTAGTTTCATACTCAAATATAAATATTGGTTACTTAAATAATTTAGATTATAAAAATTAATTAGGAGTAAAAAGACTTGTTTCCCTGTGGAGATCGACCCTACTTCCCTATCTACTTTAGTTAGAGGATTTAGGTATTTACTTTTGATTAGGGGATACGACTTTACCCCTGTCAATATTTCAGCTTTAAAGTTGAGTTTAATCCTCACTAGTCACAAGAGATATTTTGAGGGTTCGAGATCTTTTTTTTTGAAAAAGAACTCAAGTACTTATATTTGATTTTGGCCTTGTTTGGAAAATGGCGGTTGGCGGTTGGTTGGTTAACTTGGCTTGTTTGACCAGCTGGAATGTTGGGTTGTTTATAATGGCTTTTGAAATTGGTCGTGTTAAGCTGGCTGTTTATAAAAGCGTTTGGTAAATTGATTGTCAGTTGCTGGCTGTTTATTAGATAATTTGTGGGCTAAAAAGCCAAAAGCCAATAAAAAAGCCAGTTTTTTCATTTTGGCATAAAAGTCAGTTTTT